GTGTGTGTGTGCGTGTGTGTGTAATCAGGGTAGAGAAGGGGATGAGCAGAAGCTGACCCAGAAGTCCATCTCTCTGTTAGAGAGCCAACACCACCACCTACTGCACTGTCTGGAGAAAACAACAGTAAGTGCACTCTGTTATAAAAATACACGTCCACTGTGTAGCTATGGCTGAAAACTTGGCTAACATTAATGAAGCTAGCGATGAAACTTTTTTAGATTTTCCAAATGTTACCTTATCAGAAGCTTGCTCTTCACACTGACTTTGCATGTAGCTGCCAACTTCCCCCAAAACAGATGAAAAAAGGTGTTTAGGGCATTGCCAAAAATGTCTGTCATTGTCACAGTAAGGTGTTCCTTGCTCTCAAATCTGTGGTTTGAGTTCAGCTGGAAGCAAAAAACACATTCTTGGTAAAATAAATAAAAAAAATTTTAAAAATGTCATAATGTTTGCACGCCAGGTTGACAGTTGTTATGGGACTTTGTGGGTGTGGGGTTTAGAGTGGGTCTGTAAAAACTGGAACTTGCGGGGTTTTACAACTCAGCTGCACCATAAACTACATTTGGCATATTACGATGCCAAATCTGCTAGACTGCAGTGAACCTGGTTTCTGAACTGCCCACCACAGTTTTGTCATGCAGTTCACACAGATGAGGCGTCACTGACGGCACACCAGTGTGTATTTGGACAGAGGAATATTCTCTTTTATTATTTTCTCTGTGTTGTCGCTTGTAATGTATTACTGTGATTTGCGATGTTGTCACTGTTTTTCACATTTCTATATTGTTTTATATTTATTCAAACTGAGTTTTTGTACACAGTTGTTCAGATTTTCAGGCATGACAATGAAGTAAAGATTCAACATTTAAATGAGTTTCCTTTCAGTACTGAATCACATTAAATTTAAGGTTCCCTATTAGACAGAATACGTCAGTTTATACTTGTGATAGTCAGTCAAGCTTGAATTAGAACTTTCTGGCTTCAAGCTAACAGTTGTACATCATAATGTTGGACATTTATGTATTCCTTTAGTCTCTGTATGAGGATGAAACTACTCTTGAACTTAAATTATGATATTAAAGGAATATTCACAGTATCTGTTAAACATAACTACCCCTAAGTTCACTTAAACCTGGTCTGTGGTATACTTGTGTTAAAGTTTAGCTATGGTAACCTGTGCAGACCTGTGCAACAAGACACAGAAGACACTGGTTCGTACTACAGTTTGAGGACAGGACAGGATTTAGATCGTCATGTAAAGGTTTGTCTCAAATCTGCATCCACTGTAAAGTCTTTAAAGCTACTGTTGCAAAAGATGTTGGCTAAGATCTGTATTAAACACTGACAGTGTTATCCAGGCAGCCAATAAAGGAAATCAGCCAGGTGCATGATTTTTGTATGATAAGATGAAGGTTATTTTTTATAATTTCGTTAAATTGTATTTGTTTTGGTTTGGTTCCTTTTGTAAAATTATAAGTGAAGTACAACTGGGCAACAAGTCCTATAACGCTGTTGTGTAGCCTATTTACAGGCTGCTGTTTTTCCTCTCTCCTGTTTTGCTATCCCCATGTTTTTTTTTCATTCATCTTTTTCTCTCCAGGCTCACGAGTTTGTGGACGAGCAGATATACGAGCAGAACTGTTTGGAAACGGCTCTGCAGACCTATCCCTCACGCAGTCCCTCTGTATCCAGCCATGACAGCTCCACACGTACCTGTTGTAGTCGAAAGAGAAAGAGAAATGTTCCTCTGCCTAACACCAGCCTGCCCACCACCCATTCAACACACCAGGGCCCGCTGCAGGAGCTCAGTGCCATCCACATACAGTGTGGTGACCCACTGTCCCACACCGCCAGGTGAAACAAAAACAGATGCAGGGGCAAGCATCAGAGGTTTGGCAAAAATTTCAAACTCCTGGTGTTTGGCCATTGAAACTGTTTTATGTGTGCAAGCATTAATCTTTCACTCCAAAACACATCTCTGGGGGTACACTTTGAAGTCCCTCACTCGACTCTAGACCTTTAATAGATGGATCTGAATAGGCAATTGTCAACATTAATCCAGCTGCATTTAAATAATCTAATTAAATAAAATATATCTTTGAGAAAGTAGTTATACTTTTTAACTAGCAGAGTACATTAACTTTTAAAAATGTCATTTTAGTTTTGTACAGCTTTATTACACAAATTCCTCTCAAATTAAAAGGTATTTTAAGGACTCACATGTTTCATATTTTACTTCTCAAATGCATCACTAGATACACTATATGGACAAAGGTATTTGGTCTCTGGTGCCAGGTGTTTTCAGTCCCATTGCTACAGATGTATAAAATCGAGCATTTAGACTTCTGCCTTCACAAACCTTTGTGAAAGAATGTGTCGTTCTAAAGAGCTCAATTAATTTGAGCACGGTACAGTACTAGGATACCATTGTTGCAACAAGTCTGTCTGAAATATCTTCCTTTCTAATATTCAACGATAAACTGTAAGTGGTATGCAAATTGCAAAGTGGAAGCATTTAGGACCCACGGCAATTCAGCTACTAAGTGTCAGATCAAGTAAAGTTACAAAGTGCTGAGGCACACAGGGCTTAAAACTTACCAATGCTCTGCTGACTGAATAACTGCAGAGTTCCAAACCTCCTCTGGGATAGCATAGAAACTGTCTGACGAGAGCTTCGTGGAATGAGCAGCATGCGAGCACAATGCCAAGCGTCTGCTGGAATGGTGTAAAGTCCACTGCCCCTGGATTCTGGAGCAGTGGAAATATGTTCTGTGGAGTTCCAGGCAGAATGACGGATTAGTCTTGGTTTGGCAAATGCCAGACCCCTCCTCCACCGAATTTTACCTTATAGGGTTGTTTATTTTTAGGATTGGTCTGGTCTGGTTTGGACTGATCTATGCTTCAGTGTTGAAAAAATCAGTTTGGGGAAGACCCTTTTCTCTTCCAGCATGACTGTATCCCAGTGCGCAAAGCATGGGCCATAACATTATGATCAGCTGATAGTGCTGAAGACCTTGAGTGACCCACACAGAGCCCATTAAACACTTTTGGGATGAACAAGAGTGGAGATTGTGAGTCATACCCCTCATCAGTGTCTGACCTCACAAATGTTCTCCCGGTTGAATTGGCAAGAATTCCCAGACACACTTCAAAATCTTGTAGAAAGTCATCACAGAAGAGTAGAAGCCATTATTGCTGCAGAGGGGAGACCATTTCCATTTTAATGCCTATGAATTTATAATGGGATGTCATAAAAGCTCCTGTAGGTGTAATGTGTAGGTGGCCCAGTACTTCTGTCCATAAAGTCATAAAGTGTTGTTTTAAAGATTTGTTTAGGCATAAATAATAAAGCTGACTGAGTGCAGTTAACTGATAAAACTTTGGTATATAAATTTCTCCAGAATCTTCATTTCCTGCCCAAATTTACAAAAACATTATAGAAATTACAGAACATGTTTTGCTTAAAAAATGATATGTAATTACATATGCAATTACTACTGTTTGTACTAGACATTAACCACATTTAATTATACTTAACAGCCGCTCCAACCTCAACCTTAAAACTGACGAGAGCAGCAGGATCAACTGCAAAAGTGGCCGGATCACCACAGCCATCATCAGCCTCCCAACACCCCCTGCTTTAACCCCTGATGGAGACGGGTTCCACGGGCCCCCACAGCGGAGGCCGCCCCAACCTCCAAGTCACCCACCACCCTTGAGCATTCAGACCACAACAAGTTCAGCTGGCGCCAACATCGTCAAAGTCTCGGCTCTGTGACTGTGTGGCTGAAAGATGTAACTCACCCCACCAGGGGGAAGAAAAGCAGAGGAGGAGGAAGCAGGTAACACTACATTCATGGACGTACCGTGTTCCCTAATACAGGGTCAGTGAGAAGAGAGGTGTACTCCAGAGGACTCACCAGTTATGGAGACATTATTGAGGTAGAGGACTGTAGATATGTGACCTGAGAATCACGCTCGTGTCATGTCGTGTATGTACTGTCGATACGATGAGAGCTGCTGCATTTCTAAACGTTTCCTACAGCAGTGGAGATGGTGGAAAATAACTGATGATATTGTGCAACTGGCAGAAACATCAACAAACCCTGTTGACCATCACAAATTCACAGTAAATTTGACGTGAATTCACAGTGAAAAAGAAGATTTGTTGGATTAAATACTGAAGAACAAAGCTGTTGAATCTGATTGGTCATATTTGTGTTATGTGATTGTCTATAGTATTTTGAGAAACATAAACTGTTTTAGTTTAAAGTCGCCATGCCTGATGCTGCTAATATCATCCCTGAAATGTGTATTTCATTTGTTGCAGACTGGAAACAGCGTTTCTTTGTTTTCGTTGGATAATTGTATCGATACATTATGTTGATTCCTCAAACCAAACTGTGATTTTAGTTGTATTTGAAAAATCCCACTGAATGTGGACTGAAGGCTGACGGTCGTCGTACTGCATTGAAACAGAGCAGTGGTTCTCAGCCTTGAGCTGACCGGAGAATTACTATAAAGCAAATGTGTAATTTAATGTTGAAGGATGAGGTTACAGTACATCCCATGAAAAGACCAAAACCAACCACTTGATTAGCTGAAATTCATTCATCCTAGTCTTAACTGTTTGTGTTACAAAAACACAGGAAAATAACTTGTTTTAAATAATTTTCTCCTGCAGATTAATATATGTGTTGCAGGAGTTTGTACAGCAGAAGGACAATGTACATGAGGGTTCTGACATGTTAATGTAAAGAAGAAACAAGCCATGCAGTGAAACAGTGATAATAATAAAAGGTATATAACTTTGCATATTTTGGGAGGGGAAATACTACAACATTTGGTTTCAGTACAACAGCAAGTGTTAGTAAGGCCAGGATACTGAATAACATGATTGTATCGACAGTGTCCCAGAATGAAGTATCGTTTATGGCTCAGTCACACTACAGTAAAACTGTTGCATTCAGCAACCGATTGCAGGTAGTTTCAAAAACTAACTGGGTGCCCAATTTTGATCCTAAGGTGATTTTGTAGGTTACCTGCTCCGTGGCAGCCTGTGTCCAAACAGTCTGACTCAAACCGACTCCAGTCACTCTCAGACAGACTGGTTAAAGCTTGCAAATAATTGCAGTCTAATTTATAAATGTAGACAGATTGCCAACAAGTAGCAATCAATCTGAGTCAGTCTGTGCAGGACTCATCTGTGCCTCATCTCTTTGCAGTTGATTTTAACACAAATTGTTGCCAACTGCTTGTATTCCTAAATAAAAGCAAAGCTGCATCTATATCATTTCGCTGTCTTGCAGCAACCATCACATCGCTATTTGTGGAGAAATTTCTGTTTTTAGTCTATGAGGTTGTAACTGGACTCTGAATGTAAGTAGTTCATTTAAATTTCTGTTGAGTGTAAATTTCTGTGTATGTAGATAGCAACAGATTTGCAACAGTCAGCAACAGATTCACAATTTGCCAACTGGAGCCCCTTCTGTCACAAACTGACAGCAAACTGAAGACAGCAACTGGGGTTGCAGACCTGGTCCCCATCTTTGAAAAAGCCATTTTGAAGGAAGCAAGATTCCAAGTCAACTGCACACTCTCACAATATCTTTGGTGTCATGCTCTCCAAGCACTCTTTCCTGGTGTGACTGTAGCAATTTCCGATCTTAATAACACCACAATTTAATTTCAAATATCAAAAATTATTTTCAATTTTTTTTTCACAACTTAAGATTGGAAATCGTTGTGTTTGCACAGATTCACTTTGATCGTCTCTTGATTTGCCGGTTTTAAATCACTGCATTTCACCTTTTTTCCTGCCATTGGCAACATTGGGGAAACTTTACAGATTAAATTAGGTCACATACATGGCATGAATTGATAGGATGTTTACATTTAAATAGCCATCATAAAAACAATCTTAATTTTTTGTAACTAAAAAATAAGGTTAAACTTTATTTATTATAAAATACCTCTCACAGAACACCTGTACCCACAGTAGGTACAAGTGGGCTGCAGCCCAGACTTTGAGAATTACTGAGCTAGGTTAAATTCATTGTTACATTGTTGCCATCTTATGGAACAGAAACAGAGAATATTGCTGGGCTTATCCTGACAAACAACCTACAAAATTCATATTAAAAAAAAAATTGTGGTTAAGTGCTTGTATGAATTTGATAGCACAGTGACGCTTTATGCCCACTGTGCTGCTGCCACTCACGTTGAAGGTTGAGCAGGACACTGAAATGGAAAATAATACTGTGCATGTTCATCATGAATGTTTGGGCATTGAATGCCATGAAGGTTGAGCACCACTCGACCTGGACAATTACAGGACGTAACGTATTCGTGTTCGGTTCGGCATTATAAAACTAAAACTAAAACGAAATCCGCTGAATATTTGAAAATATTTTAAGTGTAGATAAAATACCCAGAGCTAAAAATTATTTGTTTTTTCAGGTATTCTGTCTTACCTTAAAAATGTTAGTTGATTTTTTATTTTTTACTTTCTTTTTGACATATTTGTAGCCCTCTGTGTCTTCTCTAAATGTCTCTGAAAAGATGTGATTTCACTGATGACTTGAAATATTTGTGTGCTGTTCATAAGACACCAAGCACAACTCATATCTTCTCAAATGTTTAGAAAAATAAAATAACTTAATCCACTTAATGTTTTCAGTGATTTCCACCTTAAACATGTTTTTTTTTTCTTACATTAAATGTGTTTATCTTGAAAGCCAGTTAAACCAATATTATACCAGCTTCTGAGCAGGATAAACAGCACATGTAAGTGACCCTGGAGTTGGCATAGTTTTGTCAAACTGCTGTTTTTAAGGTCAAAAACAAACTCATTCTAAAGAATATGGAGCTAATAATTCGGTCAGTCTCAGAGATGCTCACAGGATGGCAGCAGAGATACTTTCTAACATTAAATCAAAATGAGCTGAGCCCCGTAGGACTGATTTCTGGCCTTACTCCTCACTGGATTATCATTTCTAGACCTACTTGCTGCACACTGTTGCACATTTGAAGTCGGTAGATGCGTGTTTGGAATAGTTTGTGCCAAGTGTGCTATAGTTATCTGTATCAATTACACAATGTGTTTATTTTTCTCTTGGTTTTGTTTGTTAACGTGGAACCTGATTATTTAACTTAATGTGCTTCTCAATCATGAGGTACCAAGTGAGGTCTTTTTTTGCTGTACTGGTATTTTTTGTGTTGCATTTCTGTATTTTGTCACGTTTTAACAACGAGGTGAAAGTATTGTGTGAAAATGGTCACTTTTCCGTCCTTTGTAAGAACAACAAAGTAGTGGTATTATTTATGCTGCTTTACAAAAACAAACCCTTTAGACATTTTTGGTCTCATTATTGTTGGAAATATTGAGCATCTGCCCGGCCGTGGCGTTCATAAGCTGGATTTTGGTTACCATTAAAACAGTATTTACATATTAAGGCTTTTTTGCAGCTTCATAGACCACGTTCACCTTTTTTAAAAATGTATATTAAGAGAAATCACCTTTCTCACACCAGAGTGACTCATATATGAAGATTTTTGTTGTGATTATCTGATGGACTTTACTTCAAAGGCGTTGTTGAGGTCTGTTCTAAAAGTCTTGGCATTGCTGTTTGTGTTGTTTCTTATTCTTTTTATTTTTTGAACTGAGCTTTTTCTGTCTGTTTGCTGTGTGTACGGTATTCTGTCAGTTTGTTTGTTATAAGAACTATGAAGTGTCAGAAAATTAAACTCTGCCACAACAGTCAAACGCTGTCTTTCTTCTCGCTCCCGTCACCAGTATCTTTGCATAGAAATCTGCATTTTTATTTTGGTTTCATTGTTTCATTTTACACAGATTGGAATTTCAAGATGAGCCCAGTCTTGTTTAAATTTAGGAATAAATCACATCATCTCTTATATTTTACACTTAAATCTCCAACTCAAGTCGAGCTTTATAAAAGTGGAATTACTGACATAGTATTTCACAGACTTCAAGCAGAGCCCATGTATGCATCATACATACACAGACTTTTGCACACTATTCACTTCGGCACTGGCACAGTGACCCCACGTAAAGTCTGTAACTTTATGTGGTCTGCTACTTCATGGCTGACTTGCTGTGGTTCCACTTTGCAATAATACCACAGCTGATCATGTAATATCTAGTGTGGTATTACTCAAATGTAGTGAGAATGGCCTGTTCGGTCATAAATGTTTGTGAAAGCAGATTGCATAGCTGCATGGCTATAGGACTGAAAACAGAGCGTCATGTGCCCGGATACTTTTATCCATTAAGTCTATTCAACCCAATATTCTGCAGAATCTTTTATTGTGTCAGTTACATTTATTTTGTTGTGAACAAACACCACATTTCTTCTTGTGACTATAAAATAGAGCTTTAAAAACCACTGAATGTTTGTTCATGTACGCTTCATATTCTCAAAAGCAGGATTAGCATTGCCAAAATGTTACACCCTTCAATATTTTACATAACCACAAACATGAATCTGTCTGCACATTAGTAAATGCCTCACGAGATGAAAGTATGAATCAGCCTTTGTAGAATCGATGCCACTGTGTTTACTAAACATATTACCAAACACACATTAAATATTTTATCACCGAAACTAATGCAATATATTCAATGGGTAAGGTTGTAGGCTGTATCTAAGATCATGCGACCACATTTATTTTAATACAACAACGTTTTAATGTTCTTTTAATCTTGCAGAGTTTTAGCAGATACAGAAAACTTTTCATGTTAACAAATCTTTTAGTAATTGAGGACAAGTTTGTTTATTTTAATGCACTTCTTAGGATTTATTTGTTATAAAACAGCCAGTTACTCAGCATGTGGTGATTTTAGCAGGGAAGGTGCTTCATTATGAAACAAAATTTAATTTGTAGCAATCAGATGGTGTATTATTCAATGATAAAACTAGCCCAGTTAAGTAGCACATCACTTAAAGCAGCAGACATGATAGGAATGCTTTGAAAAACAGAATTTAAACGCTGCATAAATTACATATCATATTACGTTAAAATGCTGTTTGAGTCATGTTATTTTTCTAGAACACCTCTTTCATGTGTGCACGAGTGTTTTGATGTCAGCTTACTCTCAGCCACAGGTGTGGTCTTGACAACCATTTGAAGCTTATTATTTGCCATTAGTGGTTGTGTGACTGACATCAGCACATGGAAGAACTGCATGACTCAAACTCAATGACTAACACTGCTTGAAGTAAACACAAACATACCCAACAAACACATCTTTACAAACCCGCTTTGAAGATATTAAAGTAAATGCCACTTCAGTTTTATGCATTACTAGTTTTGGAAGATTTTGCACTAGGTACAACTGTTGTGAGTTTAGACCCTATTTTCTGGTACCCCTAAATTTCAACATACCACCCATAAAAATAAACAAGGTATGGTAGCAATAATAGTGTATTTTGATATTATTTTCTGACTGATGTCTCTAATTTTATACATATTCTCAACTTGTCTATTGCAGAAGGTAAAGGTTACAAGGAAATCAGGTCTAAATGTCTAGTTTTCTCGCTGTCGTGATGTAAACATAAATTAAAACATAAATTGTTAAATAGGACTTGTGTTGCTGCTGAAAGAGGATGAAGATGTAATTTCATGGGCTAATTTTAAACACATTTTATCTTAAACATTTGCAAGCTGAAGTGCAAATTGTTCTTAAAATGCAGGGTAATTGCTGTGATGTGAAAAACGTCTCCTGATGTACATCTGATCTTTAAATAGTGTATGCTAGATAGTATAATAGTATGCTAGATAGAGACCATGAGCTAACTTTAGCTTTCTTATTCAGTAGTCTGGTGCCATGCTGCTATTTGCCAAGGAACTAATGTATTTTATTACTTTAATTGTATTACTTTAACAGTACAGTACAGCTCCAGTGAGTCAGAGGGATGTTGCATTTCAATGGCCAGCAGTATCTCATATTCATATCAGAATATTGTTATAAAGTGATGCATATCAGCCTTTAATTGGGTTATAAAATCTGTTTTACTGGTACATTCACTCTTTAGTAACTCCACAGAGACTGAGACAAAAGAATAAAGAGGGAGAGGGGGAGAGAGGAAGAAGGAGGAAGACTAAAAAGAGATAGTCAGCAGAATTATTTTGAATATCTAAGCAGTGTGTTATACTGCTATTAAATGCTGATCACCACCCTGCTCCTGTGAGAACTTAATTTATTCTCATGTTATTATTTTATTTTAATCCAGTGACTGATGATGTCTATGGCACAGTTTATAGAAACGTTTGAAAATATTAAGACATAAAAATAAAAATTGATGTTTCATTTCAAATTGCACTGACATCAA